AATTGACACAGTGTCTGACATGAATATCCCTAAGGATTACTTTCGGGGTTATGGGATGTTAGCGGTATATTGCCTTTTGAGTAGACTTAACCAACTCAAAATGTATTGAATTATGCACCATTGGATAGAGCTTGTCAAGTTGCATTAGACACACTAACTTTCCCAATTGACACAGTCGGAAAGGTGAATGTCTTTTGATAATATGTTGGTTTTTGATGAAAACATATGTTGAAAAGGTAGTATTTGAATTTTTCCTTGGTTATGGTAGCCTTGGTAGCGGTGGGCTTTGTATGGATTTATGGCATATTCGATGCTCTAGAAGACACAGTTATTGCGGTTTTTGACACAGCTTCTGGGGCGAATGTTCGCTGATTTTATTCGAATCTGCCGCTAACTTCCCTGACGTGAAAATACAGGATGAATAAAGTTACAAAACGTCTTCTAGATGATACAGGTGTTAGGATATATGGATGATTTTATATTTCTTTTGTTACTATATGTTCTTACCCGTCTGACCTATTCTTCTTCACTAACGTCTTTTGTTGTAACTCTACTTGTTGTTCATTTTCAATCAGACGAAGAAACTCTCAACTTCTTCCCTGACTAGTCCAATTTTCTCTTCCTATATATACTTCGTGTTTTTTTTTCAATAAAGGGGAATATTATTCACTCATCCAAAGCGTCATATACTTAACTATATATACTCTTCTCACGAGAGGGGGAGAGAGGCAAGCGGACATCCTAACTACAGGTAATCATTCTATGTAAAACAATTTTTATTGTCATTTGATTTAATTAGAATTCGATTCACTATCAATGAAACATATTCGTCATAGTATCACTTGTTTATTTGATTTACCAGATGAAATTTTACTTATCATTTGTCGTTATTTATCTCCCTATGATGTTCTTTATGCATTTTATACACCTTCAGAACCTGAACAACGTCTTCATCGTATGATATTGGATCATCGTACAAGAATAAAAATTGATGAAATACAAAAGAATGAATATGATCATTTATTCAAGTTGTTTTCTCATTCTGAAACTCCACTACGACCGAAATCACTCATATTGAATAATGAACATGTTACGTGTTTAACATATTATTATTTTAGTTATACACCTGAAGATGTAATACGATCGATGTTTAGTAATTTAAAATGTCTCACATTAATTGATTGCTTACAAGAAGATCTGCAATATCTGAATAAATATATTGAAAATCTAACAGAACTTCAATATCTTCATATAGTTATTCGTAGACGTGATGAATATGAAGGTATGTATTTATTAAAAGAGATTCTATCAAAATATGAACATAATCTTAATTCTATTTAGATATGGAGGATTTGAAAACATGTCATATATTATTCAATCAATTATTATTCAATGAAAAACAAATCTCTTCTATTCATACAATTGATTATAAAATTTATAATGGTCTTTTATTAAATAAATCATTGAAATCTCATGATAATCTACGAAGTGTTAATCTTGTTTTACAAACTATTGATGATTTATATATATTACTTAATGGACTTGTTCCAAATGTTCAAATGATGATTATTAAATTGTGTCGATCAACAATAGATTGTAAGTAAACGATGAGGACATACCTTCAGTTATCTAACAAAAGTATTTTTTATATCGGTACAGGATTTGACAGAGATTTTTTTTTATTATATATATTATGAAATTTAAATTTTTAAAGAGATTAGTCTCTTAAAGATTGGACAGAATTTAAAAGAAAATATGACTATTTCTGATTGAGTACAGAATTATTCTCACATTTCAAGATGATGATGGTTTTTCTTTCCATATGATGAATTTAAAACATGAATTAATATTTTCACTATAGATTGAATTCTTATTCCTATTATTATAGCTTTTCATTATCCTCAATATGTACGATGTACATGTCCTCGACTAACAGATTTTACATTATTCGATTCATCTTCTGATTTTGATGTTGATGATATGAAATCTATTCTTGCTTATATGACAAATTTAGTTATATTAACATTAAGTATTCATTTCACATTTGATCCATTATTTTGCCATGGTCCCACTATTGAATCAATTTTGAATGAATATCTTCCACATCTTCTTCAATTTCATTACACAATAACCCATTGTATTGGTCAGCGAATCTTAATTGAAAATTTTGTTCAATGGCCAATGAATGTTAAATATTATCATGTGGAACATTTGAAATGGGTACATATTTATTCTTTGCCATGGCCAGCAAATAAAAATGATAAACGACAGTTCCCTTTTAAAGGAGCTGGCTTGAAGCCATCAGTATCATCAGATGTTAAAAGATCTGCATTTAGGAAATATGCGATCATTACAGACTGTAACAAATTTCGTTGTTTAAATACGGAATTTGATCATGTTTGTGAAGTAATCAGTTCTGTATCGATTGATATTAAATTGCCATTCAATATTTACAAAGTAGTTTTTTCAAGTGACACACGTGAGTATCTTTTATTACAAAAAGAAGAAGAATTTTTAATTAAATATTTTTAGCCCCTTTTCCAATAGGTGCAATAATTCAATCTTCTGTTTATCATTTAATTGTTGAACGTTATTTATTGGATGACTACGAAATGTTACGACTTGCTCATCAATTTCCACATGTTAAATATTTAAATTTAATACTTCCATCAAATAAACATTCATTAATTAATTGTTTAAACATTTTTCGCGATCGAAAAGATAACATTAAAAAGACGAGCTGCTATTGGACTAAATTGATCTGTTTTTCAACAAAATTAGATAGTATGCATAGAGCTAATATTGCAAGTGATAGTCAATTGTATGATTGGCTCAATCAATATACAACTTCAAAGGATCAGAAAAATTTTATTAAATATGTTAATCCTTCTCCAAATTTAACTATTTGGTATTGATTAGTTTAACATTTAAATAACAAAACTGTATATGTTTTTTTTCGTAAGAAAACTAATAGTTAGTGTGTAATATTTTGAATAAAAAACATGATCTATTACAACTGAAAAATAAGACTAACATGGTGAATATTTTGGACGTTTAATAGTTTAATAGAAAATAGCACTACAATGTATTTTATGTTAAAATCAAGTATCTCTCTAAAATTTATGCGACTGTAAAGTAAAATTAGAAATTATTTTTATTTCCTTTTATGTTATAATTTAAATTTCCAATAGTTAAAATTAAGTAAACTATTGCTATCAGATCTCGAAATGGGCGGAACCCGACCTGGCCCAGGCCTGCTCAAGAAGACTTTTATTCCGGACCGTTCGATTTGAACTTTGTTTCTCTTTTGCAAGCGAAATCTTAGCTAGAAATCGATTAAGATGATATTATTGTCATTTGATCAAAGTTAGAATAGTTAGGTTTTACTTGATTTAAATGATGGTGGCTATAAAACAAGTTTTTCTCTGATTTTAAGTACACTAGCTTCCTAGACTTTGATATTATTTTACGATAAGCGTCAATTAAAATGATACTATTTGAATCCAATCAGAATATGATGTATCAGATTTAGGTACGGGTTTAATTTGGTTTCAATCATTCTTGATTGGTTTCCAAAAACAACAAGTCTAACCCACAAGACTTTCATGTACGATAGCACTCTTCGTCTACAGAGAAAATCGAGTGAACTGTTAAGTGCATGAAGTCACATAATCACTATTTAGGTAGAATAGTTTTAACCATAGACTAATATTAGTAGGAAAAATAGGAATATCAATCAGTATGACTCTTTGAATTTGGTCAGTTGATACTTGGTTTCTGCGAGATACGTGCTAATAAATGATAATATTTCAGAAGTTGAAGTGCCGATAAACTCATCTTAACTCTATTGACTCAGGAAGTAATTCGACTTATCTCACCAGGTATTTTTTTTAAAGACTTTAAATAGCCTAATCTTGTTCAAGTCGTGACTACTATGATAATTAGTAAACTTTCTATGATGATTTGATAAATTACTCCGGTATACAGATGATCGATTTGGTGTTCACGAAAACTGATAAATCCAAAAATTAATGTTTAAAAATGTAATTTTCAGATATGTGTGTTTAAATTGTTTTGAATATAAATTTCAAGAAGCTTTAAATAAATAAATTAAGACAAAATAGTCATCCGTGACTCCAGTGACCGTTGAGTTTCGTCATGTAAAAACTTTTTTGTAAAAGAAATATAATCATAATAGTGCCATTGTTATTCTGGCAGAGCCGAACCATCAGTTGTTGCTCCGTTTCGAGGCCTAACACAGAGGTCATGTTGAACGATGCTTCAATAGTAATCTAGTTGCTTTTGTCTTCGATAACAAAAATTCAAGTATTTCTATTCAAAGATGATTCAGATTAAGAAAGAACGAATAATGTAATGGTCGTTGTTTTATTTTGTTGAAGAAATAAAAACAAACGAATTATTAATATGATAAGTCGAACATCTATTATATTCTTGTTAATATCTACTCAAGTATATGAGAAATAGAATATTATATGATTGTAATTTTTGTATTTAAATGAAAAATTCGAAGCTTAACGAAATCAGTTTGTTTTCTGATACAGATCAACATGAACTTCCAAGGTTTCTCATCGTTTCTTATATTGGCAGTGAATACGTTTTTTTTAAGTTGAAATTGAAGTTGTTTTAAGACCGAATCTCGTGTAACAAGGATATTCAATTAAAATCAATTATAGTTAATTTTTTTGTAACTTTAGAAAGTTTATGATCGGATAAAATGTTAACGTCATGACATTTAAGATGAATTCTAAACAACCTCGAAACATGTTCGAATAACAAACCACTGAGTGAATTTGCTTTCGAATTCAATTCTAAATCAGAATAAACAAATTCTCATTTTTTTTGATGCAATTGAAATATTTATAACTTTAAGTTAATGATTTTAAATAAATTAATTCAATAGTCTTTGCAATGTTGAAAACGAAATTTTCAAAATTAGAAAAATTCGAATAGACAGTCCTTAAATTATAATAGTTCGATTGGATGAGAAAAATATTTCTTGAAGAATTTATTTTGTTCTATGATTTCGATTTATTGTTCTCGTAGTTTTTATCTTTTTGAGTAAACTGTTGAAGTTCTTGTAGAATTTTGTTGGAGAGGAAATTAAAATTCAGGGCAATTTAAAATTCTCCTAGGGGAAATTGAAATTTTAATTTGCCCTGTAGGAGAATTTTAAATTTCCCTAACAAGTATTAAAATACATTATGTTTATTATATGTATATCATATTTTTCTGAAAATTATTATATTATCTATCAAAATGACAAAGTAATTTCAAAAACATTTGTTTTATAAAGCAAGATATTTTAGATTTGAGAAATAGTGATTTTAGTGACTTACGAAATGTTGATCTAACAGCTCTACCAACAATTCCATTTACACAAGCATGCAAGGATTATGTTTCCGTAGGAATAAATTCAGGTGCAGGAACATGTAGCTGCAGTGGAAAATGTGCTACAAAAAGTTGTCCTTGTAAGGCAAAAAGGTGAGGTGTTATACCAAATGTCACTCGAAAAGAAAACACGCTTGTGAAAATATTGAATAATTCCTTTAGACGATAACATATGAAGTCTTGCATACCAAGTTGTTTCCATTGGTTTTGCTTTATAAAACAAATGTTGTTGAAATTACTTTGTCATTTTGATAGATAATATAATAATTTTCAGAAAAAAATATGATATACATATAATAAACATTATGTATTTTAATACTTGTTAGGAAAATTTAAAATTCTCCTATAGGGGAAATTAAAATTTCAATTTCCTTTAGGAGAATTTTAAATTGCCCTGAATTTTAATTTTCCTTCCAACATATATAAAGAACCATTTAAGAATATATCTATTTTCATCTGCATTTGATCATTGAAAATGCAACTCTTTCTTAATACCATACGGTTTATCATTGTTGATCGGAATAAAAAACAGATAGTTGCAGTGACGAAACACATGATAATTTCTCTGAGATTTTTCTTGTCATGAAGTCTTAGAGGTTATGAGTATGAATAGGAAAGAAGATATACATCCACAATCACTTCATTGATCTAATTGTATTAGGATAAGGGTGTGGGTGTCAGATGTGAGGAATGGGTGTAGATAAGGATTTAAACA